TTGGGGGGGCCGGGGTTTTTTCCGGGTTTGGGGGCCTTTTGTCCCAGGGTAAAAGGGGCCGGGGGGCCCCCTGTTGCAAATTCCCCCTTTTCAAAAGAAAAGGTTTCCCGGGGGGGGGTGGGGATTAAAAAAAAAAGGCCCCCCCCCCACGGAAAAAAAAAGGGGGGGGGGGGGGGGGTTTTTTTTTTTTTTTTCCATCCTTTAGGGTTTAGCCCTTTTTTCCCGCTTCCTCGAGGGGAGGGACCTTTTTTCCCCCAGGTTGGTTCCCCGAGGCCCATTTTTTCTTTCTTTTTTTCCAAAAGGTGATTAAAAAATTTTTTCCTTTTTTTTTTTTTCTTAACAATTTCCTTTCCCCCCTTTTCCATTTCTTTTTCCCCATTACAGTTCCCTTCTTTTCTTTTTTTTTCCATCCTTAAAACTTTTCCCTTTAGTTCCTTTTTTTTGGGGGGGGGGGGGGGGGCAGAACATTAGGACGCAGATCACCTTTGGTCGCGTTGTGGGACAACACCGACGATACAAAGGAATATCATTGAGCAAGAGGGAGAAAACACCAGAGATAGCAGTACTAGCCGGTCAAAAGGCGGACCGTGTCCAACGCCCGTTCTCATGCTGGGGTCGCTCCTCATCGCTGTTGTAGAAAACAACACAGCAGTTAGTCTGAGCTCGATGAAAGAACCTCTGATGCACGGCGTGGTTAGCCTTGAGACTGGGCCCGAAATCGAAGCACCGTGGTCCTCCATGAGGTGGTACCCAACACAAACTACAGGAGCAGCAGCAGCAGCAGCAGCAGCAGCAGCAGCCATTGCTTCCCGCCCGTCCCTCCTCGCCTTGTAGCGTAGGAGCCCCGGAGCACTCAAGTATTTAGCGAGCGAAACTCGAAGAAACGTACTCCTCTACCGGTGCCCAGTCATCGACAGGACAAACTTGCCGTCGCTACTGCTTCAGAAAAGAAGAAGAAGCAGCTTTCTCTTCCTTCTGAGGAGTCTCTCACCAGCTTCGCCGCGCGGTGGTAGGTGGCCTTCTGCGGAGTGCTCTCGGCGCGCTCGATGATGCACGCGCGGAGCTGGTTGAGGGACAGCAGCGCCTTCGACCTCAGCCCCCGCTTGTCCCACAGCGACACCTTCACCGGCTTCACCACCACCTGCTGACCCCAGCCGTAGCCGCCCTCCTCGTCGTCCTCGTCGTCCTCCGCCTCCGTGCCGTCGTATCGCGTCGGCTGGTGCACCAGGCTCAGCCGCCGGAGAGGCTCCCCGCTCACACTGACCCCGCTCCCGCCGCCGCCGCCGCCGCTACCGCTACCGCCACCCTCCCCCCCTCCGGAAGGCGAGGTCGTGGCGGTACCGCCGGAGCCTTCGGTGGAACTCCCGGGCTTGTCGCACCGCACCGGTCCCGACGCCCGGGCGGCGTCTCCGACGGGGTCAAGCGCGGCGGGAGCGCTGCCGCTAGCACCGCCGCCTCCTACGGTGTTCTCACCACCACCACTATCGGCGACTTCTTTGAATCCTATGTTGCGAGCCCGAGAGCGCGTCACCCGCCCGCCGCGCGCCGTGGTACCCGCCCCCTCCTTCGAAGGCGAAGCTGCCGCCGCCGCCGCCGCCGCCGCCGCCGCTCCTGTTTCGCCGCCACCGCCGGGGGGGTTATTCCCCGCGTCGCCCGAGTCGTCGTTGTCGCTGCCGGGGCCCGACGACGAATCGCAGTCGTCGTCGTCGTCGTCCTCGCCGTCGCCGGCGGCCTTCGCCTCCTCCTCCGCGCGGCTGTCCCAGGCGCAAACCTGCGCCGCGAAGGAAAATTCCGTCTTCCCTCCGCCGCCGCCGCCGCCGCTACCGCCGCCGGGGGCTTCACTGCCACCGCCACCGCCACCGTCACCGCCGGTCCTATCGCCGGCGCTGCCGGTGGGCCCGGCGGTGTCGCTCGGGTCGGCGGGCACGCGCAATGCTTCCCAGCCCCCGGCGGCCACGACGGAGCCGTAGCCGATGCCGAACAGGAATCCGATCACGTACGGCAGCAGGATCTGCCAAAAAAAGGCGAGACAATAAATTAGAAAAAAACACAGTCCAAGGTTTTTCGTTTTTTATCTCCACGTGTGGGGACAGTAAGTAGCTTGTTTCCGCGCAACGTAGGGCCATCACCGCACCATACGAGTTGGGCGAGGGTTACTGCTGTATAATAAGGAAGAGCGTGTGGTCCGTTCTCCACTTGTTAAACGTGAGAAAACAACAGCACCTTCCACACGTCGCCGTCGCCGCCAAAACAAACAAAGCACCTCGACTGCTGTGGAAATATGTAAAAAAAGGAAAAAAAAACACCACACCAGCACCAGCACCAGCGTACCTCAACGTGCATGACGTGGTTGCCTCCTTCTGCGCCGAGCCCTCCCCAGGATGGCTGCTGCTGCAGCCTCCACTGCGCCGGCGGTAGGCAGCCCCGGACGTAGAGCCACGCGCACGCGTTGTGCAGCACGTAGAGGGCGCATCCCAGGAAAAACTGCAGCCGAGGGATCTGCGATATTCGTTGCCGTTGTGGTTGTTTAGGTCCCCCAACGAGAAGACCGGCCGCGGCCCGGCCAGAGATACGCGCAGGAGGTGCAGGCAGAAACGGATTGGACATGGCGGCCGTTGGAAGTTGCAAGGAGGACGGGGGGACCATCGTGAGTATACATCACGAAAGCAGTAAGGTACATGGTATGCCATATTCGACAATATGAACGCTGTGTCACTTAGCTTCCTATTGCCCTTGTACTTTACACAAAACGAAGAAAGAAGGATATAGCTGGCACAATATCGAGGACACGTCAGAGAGAGCGATAGAGATGGGGGGCTAGGCGTCTGCTTGGTGCAGAGGTTAGCGCCCCGTTGGGCCGGGGCTCAGACAATAGCGGCAGCGGTAACGACCACCCTGTCACACAGTGACAGTAGACAAAGGAAAGTTAACTTTACCAGGCCTGTTTCCGTCCAAGGCGTGGCAGGTAAAGGCACCGATCGTTCAGTTCGTACCCTCAAGGGACGGTCTTAATTGGACTTGTGCAACCAGAGCAAGAGTTGAAACGGAAACATCCAAAAGAGCTCCCGGTTTGATTGGGTGAAAATGATGGCAAGACCGCACTTTTTGTTTTTTCGGATGCAGTTTTCCTGCAAGGTGAACTCCGTGTCAGAACAGCGGTCCAACACTTGCAGGTATGCACGTGAAAATGATATAATCAAGGCCTTCCCTTTCCCTTCCCACCCTGTCACACTTGTTATCCTTCATCCTTCACACACACAGGCAGGTGGGAAAGTTCTATTTACATAGTTCGAACACGCCGCCGCCGGAAAATATGAAAATATCTGCTATAATACATACCCCCGAAAGAGCCAGCAAATCGTGTTCCTTTGAAAAAAGACGGAACGAGGAGAAGACAGCGGTCATTGTGCATTAGCTGCCCCGCTTCTCCCCTCTTGGTTGGCGGAGTAGCCGGCGTTTCGGATCCAGCCGTTGTGCACGTAGGCATCTCCGACAGGACTTCAAGAAGGACGGGTATACTGTATAAAGCTGTCGCGACCGTACGGTTGTGCTCCTAACTGCTGGTTCACATCATGACTGACACAGGGCGGCATCTATTCCAATCTCTCAGCTGAAGCTCGCCTACGCATAAAAAATCCTGACACCGTCGCGCCGCAACCACGCGCCGCCAGCCAGGGATCAACGCGCGGACAACACGGAGTAAAAAATGTTTTACCGTGTGTGTGCTGTGCTTTTCTTCAGGGTGCCACCACCAGCACACCCGACGAACCAACTACCCAACACCTTCCTTCTACGCCTTCCCAGCGTAACATAGAGAGAGATGCACAGGATGGCTACCAAACTGTCTTGTTGGGCCGGTGTTAACCACAGGGGACATATCGTTGTGTGCTGCTCGGGAAATCGTGGAAATACAGGGAGCCTTCGCTGACGCTATGAATTCATTGCTAGTCTATCTTAGACTCTTTTCTTAGATAGAGATGGATTCGTTCGGTCATACTAGGAAAAGTAAAAAATCAAGCCCCGATCTTGGCGAACCGTACAACCCAGAGCTCCCAAAAGCCGGCCTACTCACGGTAAGATGGCAAAGACTACAGCCGGTTTCCGTCCACTAACGGAAACCACTCCAACACATGTTGACTGACTATTCTGTGGTTATATATCATATACTCCCACCCCGAGTATATATAAACGGATAGTCTTTTCGTTTTTGTGAATATTTTCGGAAGACTGCACGACTGCTGCAGTTGACTCATTCTTCGCCACGTTGCTATGCAGCACTTTCGAGAGTCTTGACACTCGCACACCACAGCCAACCCTTGAGAAAAATGCAAAGTATGTACTCCTTGCAATGCTGACCAACAGCAGCGCGAAAAGTAGAAATAGCAGCTAGTGCCGCAAGGATGTGTAAAACCGCAGCACGTGCCCCCCGTTGTCTGTGGTTTTGCACCCCTTCCTCTGAGTTTGTGCTACTGGTTGTTCCCGGCCCGCGCAGCTTTCAAAGGGCTCACTGGCGGTAACACCATCTCCATACACCTGTACATCAGCGCAACCTGCATCACAGTCCACTTGGGGTTGTGCCGCACACTCACCTCCAACTCTAGCTGTGGTAGGACGCGGGTTAAGGGCCCGCAACAATTTTACTCCCAGAGTTCTGTGGATCGCTGGTTCCGCTCTAACTCTTGGTCTGTGCGTCGAGCCTGGGAGCACAATTCCGGTCAAGACCAGCCCCAAGCAAACTCAAAACACCTGCGTGTCCCGCTCTAACTCTTGGTCTGTGCGTCGAGTCTGGGTGCACAATTCCGGTCAAGACCAGCCCCAAGCAAACTCAAAACACCCACCGAGCTCCAGTACCTAACAGGTTCTTGCCAACACGAACACCGAAGACTTTGATACATCCATCCCGGTGGTACGAATTCACCGACCAAACCCAACATTGATCTGTTTTCGTACCTGCCGAAAGAGAGATGCATGGGCACACCCTTTCCCTTCACACGTGCTGACGGGGTCAGCGGAGCGCCACTCTTCATGAATGTGGTACATGTGTATGTATCGTCGCGGTTCACGCGGAAATCTCACGTTTTCATTTCATCGCAAAATAAGTTGCGTGATACAAGTCGCAACCTACCCCACCTTACGCAAGTAAAATTCAATAAGCTGCTGCGTGCCTCGAAACGAATGCGGTAGAACAAGTGGTGATAACTGTCCGTGTGTACAATATTGGTACCCCAGACGGAAACCACATCGGTTTTTCATTTTTTCATCCTGCTTGTGACCACGCAAGGCATCCGCGTCAGTTGTACTGTTATAGTATAGTATAGTATAGTACGGACATTAGAAGGTACTGAGCGGAGACCGGAACGGTTTTTAATGTGAAGACAACAACAACAACAACGTAGGTTTGCCAGCAATATTAAGCCTTACGTACACCGCAACATCCGTCTGCTTGTAGATATCTACATCGGTACATACCAATGCTTGGGGGCGGGGTGGCGAGATGACACCGGTCGGGGAAACAGCAACCGGGTGCGTGCGTACAACACCGCCGTGCCACCAGCAAAGGATGCTGACAGCATCTCCCATATCGAAGACATCATACCGGGTGCCTCGAAAAAGCTACAGCAGCAGTACGTATCTACTACATGGTGGGTCCCCTCGACAACGCCGGTATGCGCCCGGCCAATCAACCGGGGCCAAACAGAGGGACCGGCGCTATTCAAAGTACACGATGATTCGGCCTGTGCCCAGCAATTTCACCGCACGGAGCGATGTGTATCCAGCAGGGCCACCCGGCGCCATTCAAACCGGCGTTGTTGACGGGCCCACTTCTGCTGTAAAACGATGCGACTTATGTTATGTATTCTATTATTTATATAAGTAGCTGTTTTACGGTATTTCCGGCGCGGAGAGTCCGACAGGGACGGACAGACTCTTCGATGTGCGAAAACACAATAATCAACATAACATATATGAGACACACAAGACAGCTACCAAACTGTCTTGTTGAGCCTGTTACCCGCAGGGGAGATGTCCCTATATGCTGTCTGGGAAACCTTAGACATACAGGTACTTTCTGACGCTATGAATTCATTGCTATTCTGTCTCATACTCCTTTCTATGATAGAGATGGATTCGTTGTGTTATACATGTTTAAGAAAATAAAAAAATAAATAAATAAAAAAGAATGTAAAAAAGATGGTTCGCATCCTGGTACAGTATCCTGGTGCCATCTGTCCGCCGCCTCCGCTGTCTCGAATGGGGTCTCTCTCCGATTTGTGTTCAACGAATGTCGACTAAACAATGACCCGCTTAGAAGTTTTTTTACTTCGGCCGAGATTGGACGAACACGCGGCGTGTAGTCACGCAAGCGAGGGGGTCGCGGATGCCGCCGCTGGTGAATGTATTGTACAGCAGTCAGCAGTCGTGGGCTGCTCGGTGTTGACCTGCAGTACTATACTCAGTAGAAACCAGAACGATCTCTCCCCGTTGCGGCGATCGAGAGCGACGGTGGGTTCTACATGCGCGAACACAGCAGTCCGTGGTCCCCAATTTTTGTAGTAAGTGTTCGGCATGATGCACGCGCACCAGCACGCCAACAGCAGCAGTAGATCCTGCCTGCTGCTACGGTCGTGCAGAAACTCCACCACGACAAACACTCCACTTGCTGCTCTGTTGCTACGAATTCCGCCCCCGCTGGATTCTGTCCGATCGTTTGCGGTGGGGGAAGGGGGCGGTAAACAGCAGGCGTGCTATCATTCCACAACAGACTAGACTTCGTCCCACGACGTACAGCAGACCTTCGCTCACCCGAGCCAACCACCAGCTCCAGCAGAAGGGGAATAGCAAGACCTTCTTGAAGCCGATCCAAACCAGCGCCCGGTGCTTGAACGGCTTGGTGTTGAACGAGACCGCGCTGTGTTTCGCGCAACGAGGCGGGCGAATTTCGTGTTTGTCGGGGTGCAACAGAAAAAGAGAGTTCACCAACAATACTCACACGGCACGCCTTTTGGCATGCATAGAATCTAGCAACGGCGGTGCTGCTGTGGGTCTGCAGGACACCAGCAGCAGATTTCCCAGACGTTGAAAACTTTCAAATCCTAGGCATTGGTCGGCCACAAGGCACCGCTGCTGCTGCTCTAGGGCTCCCACGTATATACAAAGGCTGCCTCCTCCATACCCGCTCGCGACACAAATACGAGTACGCCAGCTGACATACCAACCGTGAGAGCTGTTCGTCGATGGTCGTTGGTTTGGGCCTTCACAAATGTCCCTATGCGGTGCCCAACCCTAAACCGATACATTCAGTAAATTTCGTTATGGCTAGCTTACCCTTTCAGCACGTTCAAGTCGAAGTACTCCGTGGGCGTTTCATCCTGAAGCTTATGCTCCTGCTGTTGGTCTTTTTGCTGATACTGCTGATGCTGCTGATGCTGCTGCTGCTGCTGCGAAGGGCGCCGCGTCGTGAACATGTTAGCCCAGGCAGTTGTACATGTGTGTGTAAAAGTGGTGTGTTGTGTGGTGTCGTGGTTCAGCCGCGCGCGGGCAATGCCAAAACTAGGGGCACCGTATTTCCGGATGGGGGGTGGTAATCAACAAGCAACAAATCCAGGGGGGTGGGGGGGAGGCCCCACCTGCCGAACATACGGCGGCGGAGGGCAGTAAAAAGAGCCCCACTCACACGCACAGCAGAGCGCGGCGCGCCCATTCTGTTACAGTGAACGAGGTACGTGGATGATGACTTGTGTTGCTGAAAAATTGTGCACCTGGTTCATGGAGCTGTGCCCCGATCGCTTTGGCGAGGCGTCTCGCTTGTTTCCGGGCAGGTGCTCTTGTCGGTAGAGACCCAGACATCTGGGGAGAGCGGGGGATCGTGGACAGATCGCAACTGCTGTGCAGCACAACAATAGAGCGTAGACGGCATCATTGTGTAGGCCGTAGATCGGGCTGATGCCGTATGGGGGAGAGTGTTGACAAGGCTTAGGGAACGGATGGTGTGCTTGAGTGCGTGTGGAGAGGACAGAGAAGAGCAAAAGAGTGGAAATCACGGCGCGAAACGATGCTGTAGAGCAGATTCGAGGGCAGCGTGTGCGGTCTTGTGTGCCCCTTTGCGTGCGCTCTGCATCAAAAGGCAGATGGTCGTTGGTGCTGGCTGTCCAGAGCAACATACGCAACGTCTCCGAGCGTGTAAAATATGCTGTGTTGGCTTGTTTCGCCCGCCCAGCAGCAGTAGTTGGGAACAACACCAGCCTTGCTCTCTTTGTTGCCCCGCCGTTGCGTCCTGCCTGCTGTTGGGGGGTTTGTCGCTGACTGTTTCCCGTCTCTTGCCTTCTGCTGGCAAAACACAGGGCGGCAACCCCTTCGTAGACTCGAAGACGCTCCGGGCGCAGGGGGGCTAAGCTTGCACCACTCGGGACTGGCGAGAATCTCCGACAGGCAGCCCCTTTTCAAGACCCATCCAGCACTTTTCCATCATGGCTGAGGGAGGCTCCGTTCGCAGCGGCGACAACGGCGGAGGCGGGGGCAGCAGCAGCAGCAGCAGCAGGAGCAAGCGCCCGCTACGCCGGCAGCAGCAGCAGCAGCAGCAGCAGCAGCAGCAGCCAGGAGAGGTTCCGGAAGCGGCGACGACCAGGGCCGGGAGCAAGCGACGGCGCGGCGAAGCATCAGACGGGGCGAACGGCGGCCAACGCGGCGTTAGTAACCACCATGCCCCCGCCAACAACGACGTCGCGCCTCCGCCCGCCAAGCAGCCGCGCGGGCTCTACCGCAGGGTCTCCGGCCTCGTCGGACGCGCGGTGGGTCTCTTGACGCCGGGAAGACCCCGAGCGCCTCCCCGCATCGCCTCCGCCGCGGCGAAAGACGACGGTTTGGAAGCCCGGGGGGGAGCGGCGGCGCGCGGAGAAGAGAGTAGGGCCGTGGAGCCCGAGGAGGGGAACGAAGGGACGCCGGCGGAAGCAGCGGCAGACCCGCCCGTTGGCGCTGCTGGTGTAACCTCAACTCCCGGCCGTGGTGCAGCCGCCGCCGCCGCCACTTCTGCTGCTTCTCCTTCTTCTCGCCACGGCGGAGTCGGCGGCGGCGCTGATGCAAACCCCACGAGGGCGGCGTTCTTCAGCCCCGGAGTAGGCCAGAGGCGCGAAGGGCTCAGACGCCAGACGAGGAGAGGGGGGGCCGGGGCGGGTACCAAGGGCAACGCCATTTCCAAGCTACCGTCCTCTCTGCGGCTGTCGTCATCGGCTCGCCGGGCTTCGGGAGACGGGCTCGGATCGACGTCGCTTCGCGGGAGCACGGCAGGGGACGGCGGCGGCGGCGGCGGCGGGGCAGAAGAGCTTGGCCTGCCGCCGGCTCCCCCGTTCTACAAGCTAGGGGCAGCGTCCCCGGCCCCGGCCGGACGAGTAGGCGGCGATGAAGGAGAAGCAAACCACGAGCATGGCGCTATCGGCGTTGCGAGATCTTTGCGCTCTGGCCGCGTTACCGATGGCGTCGTTGGCGTTGTCGGCGTCGGGGGGGGCGCCGCCGCCGCCGCCGCCG